ATCCAAGTTAATTTGTCAATTATTCAATTTACATATTTATTAGGGCTGAAATTAAAATAAAAAAATTATAGGAGAATTCATATACATAGTAGACAAAATTTTTCAAATTTATATATTTAACATATAAACTTCTTATTTATTCAGATAACACTTAAAGTTTTAAATATCAATAAAACCCAAACATCGTCTTGTTTATGTCTCATCATCTCGCATGTGTTCTCATGACGTCGATCATGTCATTGTTGTCACCTTCGCACGTTTTGGTCCTGTCACATTGGTCATATATTGTCATACATACATAGCTCACTAAGACAAAACAATGATAATAATGTCAACTCAGGGAAAGGAAAGTCTTGATGGAGCTCACTAGAACAAGGCATCGATGACTTTGACGTAGGAAGTAGCAATGGAGCTCGCTAGGGCAACACATCGATTGCTTAAGAAAAAAAGGAAGTCAAAGGAGATTGTTAGGGCAAGCTAAAAGAGATAAAAATGTGTTGGATTATGCAATTATTGAAATTTATATGTTAAATGAATAAATAAAAAAGTTTTGATTGTTATGCATATAAATCCTTGAAATTTGGTGCATCAACTCAATGAGATACAGACAACAAAAACAACAAAAAACTTTTATTCCTACCAACGGATCGACTATATGAATCCTTCTTTCATATTATATCCTATTAAGAATCAAATTCTCATTTAAATCTAATAAAAAAATCATTTTAATATTTTCTAACCAAGTATTTATAAGTCTACATCTACCTTTGTTAGCATAAGCTGAATCTAATATATCTACTCTTTTAACATGGTCATTAGAAGACCGACGTTTTATGCGACCAAGCCATCTAAGACATCTCCCTTTTTAGGCCTACCTCTACCTATTACTTCTCAGAAACTTCATGTTTCTGATTTTCAACCCCTTCTTGATGGTTGGAAAGCAAAAATGTTCTTATTTGTTGGTAGACTCCAATTTGTGAAATTCAGTATATAGAGAACTTTAATGCTTAAAGGATAAGAGATAATATTTAGAACTAAAATCATCACCTTCAATTTCTAGCTTTCTTTACAGGCTAATATTGCTTCAAATTTTGAAGATACAAACGGTATAACTCCTCTCTTTTACCAAAATTTCATTATAATGAACTAACGCTGATAGAAGAAATTTTTATAAAATTTATTTAACATTCAATGTATTATCATAATTTAGTCATTCAAAGAAATCTTGTGAGTTAATTTGTTTAAATTGAAATTTATAAATGCTGAAATGTGTCTTTATTAAAATTCTTTCAAAGAATTCACCTAGCTTGCATCCCTGTATATATTGATAGGTTAGAAGTTTTTCAAATATTTAGGGGATTACCGTTATGAATTTCAAAAGATAAATTTAAATAAAACATATTTAATACAATCAAATTAAAAGTCTAAAATAATTTTCACTAAATTGAGCCAATTAATACAATGGATTTAACTCTAAGACCTCCAAATGACCAAGCTTAATCTCATAATTGTAATATACAATAATCCTTTTAAAGAATACTAAAAAAATCAAGTAGGATATTTAATAAGTTCGAGTCAATCATATACAACTATATTCAAGTGAAGCTAGTCTCCGAAAATAGATGTTTATTTTCTTATTTAGGACCTTATCTTTAACCCTTTGGATAATATTGAGGCGGTTCATCCTAACTCCATTGCACAGGGAGTTATTTCTTTCAAGCCAAATAAACCAAAAAATAAGGGAAGGGATAATATTGCGAATGTGACCTTTAGTATCAACAAACCAAGTCATAAGTAAAACATTAAGGGGGAGATGCGCATTAAAAGTATTTAATTGAAATAGATCATCAAAGTAGACCCAAGTTCTGACAGCCACAGGACCAGAGACGAACACATGATGTATGTTTTCAATATGAAAACAACATTGGCATTTCGAAGCAAGAATGAAGCCCTTTTTAATGAGGTTGTCTTCCGTAGGAATCCGTTTATGAAGAAGTCTCCAAAGAAAAACGGAAACCGTGGAGGGGATGCTCTTGTGCCAAATGTTCGCAAAGATCTTATCCATGCTACCTTTACTTCTAAAAGAATGCCAAGCATTCTTAATATGAAACTCCCAATCATTAGAAAAATCACACAGAATAATATCTTTAGAATTAAAATTAATAGGCAAGTTAAGAATTCTCGAAATAACGCAATCCGGGATACAGTTAGATAATTTCTCAACATCCCAACCGTGATCTTTAAAGAAAAAATTAACTTTAACAGAATTAGAAGAAGTAGAGTTCAAAATGGATTCAATAGAGTCCTTACCAAGCCATTTATCTTGCCAGAAAAAGATGTTGCCATCACCAAGCCCACACGAAATAAAAGGCTCCATCTCCCATTTTATTTTACACAATCTTTTCCAAACTTTAGAGTCACCAATTTTAGTGGACACAACGGTGGGGTGATTAGCCACACAATATTTAGAAATCATAAATTTAGACCAAAGATTGTCTTTAGAGCGCAATTTAAACCAAAGTTTAAAAAGAAGGCATTAGCAATGTCAGAAAGGGACTTGCAACCAAGACCACCTTCGTCCAACACACCACAACATTTCTCCCAAGAAAACCACATAATTTTAGAAGAAGAGAGAGTACCCTTCCAAAAAAACTTATTAATAATCTTGTGAATCCTATTACAAACAGTTTGAATAGGAAACAAAGTCTGAAACACATAAACAAGTAAAGAACAAAACACACTTTTAATTAAAGTAATCCGACCATCAAAACTAAGAATATTAGAATCCCACGATAAAAGTTTGTTGTGAACAGAGGCAATAAGTTCATCAAATAAGAAGGTTTGTTTTGTACCTTTGAACAGGGGAACACCAAGATACTTGATAGGCAAATTCGTATGAGTAAAGCCAGTAGCATCTTTAATAGCACGAATATGATCATTGGGAATCCTTTTAGAGGTAATAAAAGAACATTTATTTTTACTAAAAGAGAGGCCACTAACTAACTCAAAATGATTGAAAAAAGCCATAATTTTCTGAATTTTATTAATAGTAGCATTAGTAAAAACAATAAAGTCATCAGCAAAACATAAATGGGATAAATAAGAGCCTCCCATACTTCTATAATTAAGGCATGGACTAAGTTCAAATAAATTGGAAATACCTCTAGAAAGAAATTTAGCCGCAATGATAAAGAGAGCAGGTGAAATAGGATCGCCCTGCCTTAAACCATGGGAGGAGTTGAAAAAGTTGTAGTTAGAACCATTCAAAATAATAGAAAAGTAAACATTTTCAACACAATTTTTAATAAGGTTAATAAAGGTAGTGTTAAAACGAAAAAGGTCAAGCATAAAGTAAATGAACTTCCAACTAATATTGTCATAAGCCTTGGCAATGTCAAGCTTCAAAATCATATTGCCCCCTCTAATCTTAACATCTAAATCTTGAGTTAATTCTTGAGCCAAAAGAATATTATCCGTAATAGCCCTACCTTTAACAAAGCCCATTTGAAAAGGAGAGACAATTTTAGGCAACAAAGAAGATAAATGATTCAAAATAATCTTAGAAATCAATTTATTAAAAAAAGTACAAAGACTAATAGGCCTAAAATCATTCCACGTTTGAATAGCAGTACATTTAGGAATAAGCACAAGAGAAGTGGACATAAAAAATTTAGGAATTGGAGTACTCGCAAAAAAATCTAAAGAAGCCGAAAAGATATCATTATAAATAATATGCCAACATTTTTGAAAGAAAAGAGTCGTGTAACCATTAGGACCCACAACAAAATCATTATTCATACAAAAAATAGTATCTTTAACTTCTTCAAAGGAGGGAGGAGAGGAAAGGAAAACGTTATCCTCATTAGAAATAAGTTTGGGAATAAAAGAATGATCCATGGCTTGAATAGGATTAAAAACTTTATTAAAATGGTTATTAAAATGATTAACAACAAGATTAGAAATCTCAGCAGTATCATTAGAAACCGAACCATCCTCTCTTTGAATGTTAGTAATACTATTCTTAGCCCTTTTTCTCTTAGTTTAAGCATGAAAGTACTTAGTGTTAATGTCACCTCAACCAAATACTTAGCAGCAGCTTTCTGCTTCCAAAAAATCTCTTCCTGATCTTGAAAGTTAAAAATACCAAATTTAGATTGATTAAGCAACGACAAATTAACATCAGAAGGATTAATTTAGCATAAGTTCTCATTAAAAGCCACACATTACTCAGCTTGCAGAATATTAGTGAAAATATTTCTAAAAATATTACGATTCCACCAATTGAGAACATGTTTCAATCTCCTAAGATTGAACCAAAGCCTTTTCATACCAACAAAGGAGTTGTCAGGATGAAGGGGAGCTTGCCAATTATCCTTAACAACCCCAAAGAAGGCGTTGTTAAGTAACCACATATTCTGAAACCTGAATTGAGAATAAACATTAATATGATTATTATTAATGTTAAGAAGCAAAGGAGAGTGATTCGACAAGTTTCTACTAAGATGCAGCACAGTAGTGGAACAAAAGGCATTAATCCCCGAATCATTGAAAAGAACCTGATCAATGCTTTGCGGGCAATTAAGAATTTATATTGGCCAACAGCACTTCGGGTTATGTTTTAGCTATAAAAATTCTTATTAAAGTAATTAAAAGATTAATTTTTTTAAGCGGCACATGGATGGAAATACAAATTAATAATTGAATTAAAAAATGGCAATTACCTGTACTCTCGCAGCGCTGAAGATCTCGGCGTTGACAAACCTTCTGATACGCCGCCAGTGATCATTATAAGGAGAGAAAGCGATGTCGAGGCCGCCGTAGGAGAAGCGGTCGGTGGTGGCGAAGAACGGGCGGCTGCAGAAGACGAAATCTTATGTTTTGATGATATCTGCGGCGGTTTCCGGCGAGGAGGCGATGATGGTCGGGATTTGGCCTAATTTGAGGTGGATGAGCGGGCCGTACTTATGAGAGAGGTTGCGGAGGGTGATGTGGGGGAGGTCGCCGAGGAGCTCATGGAGGTTTCCGATGAAGGGGAGTGGTGGTTGGCCCGGAGGAAGTCTCCGGCGAGGATTCAACGTCCTTTTCCTTCTTCTTAGATGAATAATGAAGAGGAGGAAGAGTATGAAGAGAATCCATAGGGGCGTCATACTTTGATGAGCTTGCAATGGCTAATATGCAAGATGAGATTTTATGTAAGGTTGGTGTGAGAATATTTCTATTCAGCGGTGGAGCTATGGAGAAATTATTCTTTGCGGTCACTGTATTATTTGGAGATAAATGAGAGCACGTAGGGGTGCAACCGAGTCAAGCCGACTCGCGAGCCGGCTCAGACTCGACTCGATAACAGGCTCGACGAGTCGAGCTTATCGAGCTTGCGAGTCGAGCTCGAACACGAGTTCGAGCTCAATAGCTAATCGAGCTCGAGTTCGAACATAAGTCGGACTCGACTCGTTGGCTCGACGAGCAGCTCAATGGCTGAGCTCGCGGGCGGGATTCGGGAAATCTAAATATCGCGGGTGGGAAATCCAAACAATGGTGGAGCACGGGCGGATCAACGGCTGACGAGCTCGGGATGACTGGTGGACATGACAGCGAGCTCAGGATGATGGATATCGACGGCGTAGCTTATTCAGAGCTTGTTGGATCTCGGGACGTCGGTTCTGGACGACGGACGAGCTAGGTACGACGGGCAGGCGCGACTGCAAGCTCAGGCGATGTATATCGATGGCATAGCTCTTCCAGAGCTCCTCAGATCTCGGGACATCAGTTCTTGACGGCAGACGAGGTCGGCACGACGGTAAGACACAACTGCAAGCTTAGGGTGATGGATATTGACGACAGAGTTCGTCTAGAGCTTGTTGGTTCTCGCCGTCTCGGGACGTCAGTTCTCTCGACAACGGATGCTACGAGTTCGGGAGACAATCTCAACGGCAGAGCTTGGATGACGACGAACGAGCTCGATGACGACAGACGCGATGAGGGCGGAACTCGGGTCTCAACTCTCAAGACGACGGATGTTAGGACGGGCTCGACAGCCGAGCTCGACGAGCCGCTCGATATGACAACGAGTCGACCTCGAGATCGACTCGAGTTCGAGCTCGAGCTCGAGCCCGGGTTTTGATTGTCGAGCTCGACTCGAACACCCCCGACTCGAGCTCGACTCAACTTGTTTGCACCCCTAAGAGCACGTCATCCAGTATTCTAAATTCAAAAAATTTTAATATATCATAATTTGATTCTGATTATAATATTCTAATGTAATTTATTTAAAAAAATTAGAAGTATAAAAAGATGATTAAAAGGATAAAAGTAAGAAAATAATAAATAATAATATTATATTAAAAAATAAAAAATCTCCTCCCCCCACCCAAAAAAAAAAAAAACTTTTGAGACAAGCTGAAATGTCTTGGGAAGCTATCTCCATTTAAATCCTTCTCTCTTTTTTTTAAAGGGTGTTTCCTCTCTCTCCCCCTCTCACGAGAAGTTAAATTTAATTTTAACATATTAGTATTTGAAATTTAGCTGTCTAGATAAAGAGCTCATATTCTAGAAAAAAATATTGAAGATGCTAGAAACTTATTCAAGAGTAATCCTTAAAAAAATTTTAGAATATAATTTAATGACTATATGAAATAAAATAAAAAAGTTTTCTAGAAAATTATTTGTAACTATTTGATTGAGATGTGCTCGTATAATTCTAATAGAGATTTCACTAGTAGTGATAATGTCTTTGATTTTATAAAGTAAAGTGAGATTCATGTCATGATTATTCGACAAGTTTTATGCTGGCTGTCGACATATGAAATAAAATGAAAGAAAATAATAATATTCTTTTTCATCTTCTCTTATATTCTTATCATAAGTAGCCCCTCTTTCATCTTCTCTATTCTCCTCAATCTTCTCTAGATTGAGCACTTTAATTATTTCTCACATAAATAGATAAGCACCAAGGCTGTGAAAACCGGACCGGACAACGAACCGGAAGAAGGAGAGGTTCACGTTTCGACCGTTCAACCGGTCTAACCGGGGTCGAACCGGATGACGTAATAAATATAAATATTATTAAAATTTAATAAATTAAGATAATAATAATGTTATCATTCAAAGTTTGGAAGACAAATTAAATTAAAAAAAAAACTATGAAAACATAAAATTTAATATAATTAAGTAAAAAGAATTAATATTAAAATCTCAAATAAAAGAACAAAATTTAATAAAACTCATATTTATAAGAATTACACTCATAAAAAAATGATAATTTTAAATTTAATATTTTTTGAATTATAAATTTAATTTTTAATGTAAATTAAATTTTATATAATAATCAATATAATTTAATATATAATTAACATATTTATATATAAATTTAATTATAACATAAGTTTTATAATTTAATTATAAATTATTCTTATTTTTATATTATATGATTAAATAAATTTTACATTTTTATGTGTGTATACCAAATTTCTTTTATAAATTTATATCTTAATATAATTAATAAATAATTAAATACATAAAATTATTAATGATAAATATTTTTATTTAGTATAAATAAATAATTTTTTATTATTAACTAATAATAAAGTTCATTTACATAAAAAATATTTAATTAAAAATTTATTTAAAATAATTTTTTATATGCATTATATGTGTTATGACTTATGAGTTCATTTTCAACTCTTTTCTTTAGTCCCACATCACTTGAGAAGACTTTCTTCCTAGTGTTTATATAGCATTTTGAGTTCTCTTGTATTAAGAGCTCACATGGTACCATCACTCCATGTGAAATGCTTCATGATGATTTGAAGATAAATATTTTATAATAAAAGATATATTATTATTAATTAAAATTTTTAAATATATGTTAAATTATTTATTTAAAAAATATTTAAAATTTTTTAAACCCTAAACCCTAATAATAGTGTGTTTTATTTAATTTAAGAGTTTTAAATATTAATATATATATGATAATGATTAAGTTTAATATTTATTTAATATTATATAATTTATTTAACTAATATTTTTTAAAAAACTGAACCGGCCGGTTTTAAAAACCGGACCGGTTCCACGCGTTTGATAGTCCAAACCGGGACCGGTTCACCGGTTGAACCGTCGGTTCTACCCAAAACCGGCCGGTTCAATGTGAAGGCAGTTTTCAGATTGGACCGGACCGGCCCTTAAACCGGTTCACGGTTGAACCGGTTGGACCGGCCATTCCGGTCCGGTTTTTAAAGCACTGATAAGCACTATTTATTTATCTAGTGCATTTATTAAGCTAGTTCTTTATCTTGATTCACAGCATAGTCTCCATAGTCTCCATTGAGCGCTAGTATAAAATCTTAAAATCCAAAACTGTAGCGTCGTAATGTCAATATTTGACGTCTTGGCTGAGTGCAACACCTACGCACTTGAACACTAAGCGTCGAGGCACTCCAGTAGTGATATTTTTCATATTTTGCCAAACATTAAAACATGAAAAAATATATTATTTTTATCATCCTAAAAACATACTGGCCGACTACTGTTGGCGGGGATGAAGCCAACAGATTCTTGGTTAGGAGAAGTAACACTAGCTTCATAAATCACATGTTCAAACTATTATTTCTAAATTTACCCATGTATATTTGGAATATTTCTTTGTTAATAAAAGGTCTACATGTAAATTCTACACCACAACATCACTCTCTAATGAAAGATCTCGCCGACCTTAAACATTTTTTAATAATCATTAAAACAAATTAGTGAGACTCAGAGGTGCTAACTAGGCCCGGCACTTCATCACTAGCTTTCCAACAACACTTCAGGTGCTTAGTTTGACTATAAGCTCGCTGAAATCAGAGTTCAGGTGCTTCCGAATTTGATTTTTAAAATTTCCAACTTGATTTATGCGCCGAGATTCGTGCCCGATCAAGATAATTTTTGCATGACTTATCAACCATACTTGTATTATTTAGACAAATTTGGATTACATCATATGAATATTTTACCTCAAACTATATTGTGCATTTTTCTTTTTACATTTAGTACATTGTACAATATCATCAACAACAGTAATTTTTAATTTACATATATTGCATAAATTGTACCATATACTTTCTTCATGATTTAGTTCTTTTGTAAAAACTCGTGTATAATAGTACTTTATGTGAAGGTATTAAAAAAATTAAAAAAAATCATAATAAAAATTATTAAATTTAATACCTCTCCTGACGAATGTTCATATGTATTGATCTTTTATAAATTTGTCATCAAATGTGTATCAAAAGTAGACGACGAATGTTGATGAATATTTTTTTTAAATCTATAGATTTAAATTGAAATACTAAATAATAAAACATAAAATATATAAAATTAATCAAAAACAATTAAACAAAAAATAAAATATACCATTCTAGGATTTCTTTAAATGTTGGAATGATTAATGTTGTTGCGAGTGTGAAACCTAATATTAAAAAACACAATAAAAATCATATATATATATATATATTATATATATATATATATATATATATATATATATATATATATATATATAAAGGTAGATGGTAC